ACTGCTGCTTTTACTGGATCCGCATAAATTAATTAAACTTTAGCAAAGTAAAGATATAAATTTTTATCAATTCCATTGAAGGAAGTAGAATGCATAGAATCAGTTTAATAGAGCTACAACTATTGTTGTAAATGCAATCACATAGTCGTGAACTGCTCTTAAAATAATTAAGTCGTTTTGACAGCGAGAAACACTAATGGAAAGCGGGACTGTAATATAAGGGGTGGAGACCCGAGCTTCCTCTAATGGCACTACTAACTAACTAACTGTCGCCGCAGCGGCTTGCCTTGAATGACTTCGCGCCCCTGTTGCCCCAGACGCCTCTTCGCGCCTCTGCCTTGCGGTTCAGCTGTCACCTTATAATTTAGCCTTACATTGCCCAACCTCTCGCACTAACAACGGCGTTTGCTATCGAACAATATGATAATTAAGTCTCATTGTCAACGCCGACATACTCTTGTTCGCTGTTGATAATAACGCTCATCCGGCTATAATTAATTCTTGATTGTGTGAAAGTAATTTCATGAGCGGACGACCAATACATATTAATTATTCGGTAGTAATTAAAACATTAAACAATATTTACTGTAGTAAACCGAATTGTATTTTTGACTCACAAAATACAAACTACTAGATGTCGCCCGCGACTCCGAGCGCGCGGAATTAATAACGACCCTATCTCCCAAGTAGGACCAAATAACAGACGCTTACAAAATTAGATAAGAATTGGTTTAGTAGTTTCGGAGTTCATCGTGAACATACATCGTCATACGAAATTTTTATAAACATAAAAATTTAGACTATTGCAAAATTAAAATGAAAAACATTCGTTGTTAGAAGGATTATAGGTGACATTAAATGCAGACCAGACGGGTGATGGTTATGGGTCACGTATCCACATCGAATGCTTTGAAAGGTTTGCACTTCAAAGATATATGAGTATAAAATTTTGTAGTTGCAGACACTGAGAGGAGCTTAGCTAAGAGCTCTTTTATAACTAAAAGGATCATCGAAATAGTGCGCATCAACGACCCGCTAAAGTAGATTTAATTTGTTAATAGGTAAAACAAGTTCAAAAGCTTTTCAAATCGATCTTAAATCTTGTTTAATCTTATTTACTTAAACATCAGTTTAAATATTATCAGTAATTAAATGAAAAAGAGCTTTTCAAAATTTATTACAATAATTTACAAAACTGTTTTGCTTACGAAAATTTACCTTAAAATAATATTTAATACGTCTATTGAAACCTTTAAGATTTCTTTTAATTAAAATAAAGAAAAGTATCCAACTTTTATTGAATATTCAAAGAGAGCAGAACCAATAGATTGGTTAGTTAAAAAATCAAAAAATATCGAATTCCATGAATAGAATTCAGCGTAAAATTTCATAGGCAGAATACATTAGCGGCTACGTTGTAAAGTTTCCATTCGGCCAATGAATATTCAACAAAAGCAACTTTAGCCGCTAAGTGTAAAAGCTGGATGAATTTACGTCGCGACTCACGTTTTTAGAATGTAAAAGAGCGCACACCAACTATAAAGCGACGGCTCCTATGTGAATAATTGTAACACAAAAAACGCGATTTTACAGGACCATGACATGTAAAAGTAAATGTTATAACTCAAATCTCATATTTAAATATTTTTTGAAGAACTTTTAAAGCAAAATTAATTTATCAAGTTTGAAAAGCTCAAAAAACGAGTTATGGTATTTTGTGTATGATCTAAAAGATCCTGGAGGTGGTCGCGAAAACAATCGAGCAGCGTCGCTCGGAGACCGCCTGACACTCCACGATAATACGTAAATTACATTCAGTCGCCGTGTTTACTTCCCAGTTTATTAAGCCTTTAGAGGTCACATGCAAATTGCCTGTCACCATTTCCAATTTCATGTACTTTCGCTATATCATTGCGCTAAACCTTGATTAGAAATTTGCTTCTGCTGAAATATTAGTAAAACATTTCTCTTCATATAATCATATCATAAAATCAAAGTCTCTGTGTTTTTATTGAAAAAAAAATACTATGCTAATTTAAACTATAAACTAACTAAAGCATAGCAACATGATAAAGGCAATGGTAGTCTATGCTAGGATATCATTTTTTGCTATAAAAATAAAATTTGTCTTTAAATTATTCAATACTTCATGTTTTTTTAGCAATATTTGAAGATGCTGACGATATGTAAACAAATAAAAACACTTCAATTGTTTGATGAACTTTATAAAAAAATATTACCCAGGAACTAATTTCTAAGTCGTCAAAACATTTCATAAACAAGCCCCGACCTCTCTGGAGAGCGTCGGAAGGCTGACAGATATCGAGTATTGACTGAGAAAATTCGCTATTAAATTGTCGGCTATACTAAAACTTCAGAACTTTCTCTAGGGACTTATTGAAGTTTAGTAATTCGTTGTGTTGTTGATAGCTAAAAATTCATTTTCTTATTAATTAGACACGGATTCACATTTAGAAAATCAAAGCAAACTTAAACTTCATCAACGTGGAAGAAAACTTTTCAGATAACCAGAAAGAGCACATTCTGTTCTTCGTATTAAAACATGTTTTTTTTGTAAATCTATACTAATATTATAAAGCGGAAGAGTTTGTTTGTTTGTTTAAACGCGCTAATCTCACAAACTACTAGTCCAATTTGAAAATTTTTGTTGGATAATCCATTTATAGAGGAAGGCTTAAGGCTATATAACATTATACTGCGACTAATAGCTTTTTTTAATTCCGCGCGGACCGAGTCGCGGGCGACAGCTAGTTATCAAATATTTCTTCTGCAGGAATAAAATTTTTCTAAAAAAAAAGTGACTTCACAGACTGTCTTCTGACACTTAGCATTACCTTTAGTCTAAGGTAATGCCTAGTAGAATATTTAGGTAGGCAAGGTGTACTTCAGCCCGTCTGCAAATACCGTCCGTTTGCCATCAACAAAGCCGGCCGGGCAATACTAAGGTAAGATTTAAAGTGAAGCTTTTCTGAATTGCGACAGCTATTATTCACTTTGAATCGCATTGTTCTCTTCTCTTGCATAACTTCGCTAATGGTTACTTACGATGCACTCACTGCTCCGGGCTCTGTTGTTTAAATGCACCTCTGTCGCTTTTGACTGATATTGAACATGACTTGGGTGAAAATATTTACATCAACTACAAGGAAGGAAATTATTTTATATACCTCCTTGATAGTAATATAGAACCTAACAATTGCTGAAGTAATTTAACTTACTGACTGCTTGTCTGCTTGCTGTTTAAAGAAGAAAATTGCGCATAGACTCACCGAATCCTATTGGCTACGAGTAATTCTGCGATGTCTCTGCCAAGGCGGGAGTAGGCTGACTCGACGATGACGAGCACCTTGGCGTCGCTACGCAAACGCGCATCGGAGCTGTGGTCACGCGCGTGTTGCTGCGACGCCAACAACGAACACTGCGACAACGGCCGCGGGACGCGGTCGCGCCACACGAAGCTGAGAAACATAGACAACGTTATTGTAAGAGTAATATAGGTGGGTATGTGCATTTGTATGTGGGTGTGTGTAAAATACATAAAGTGTTTAAGCTGACGTGTTCTCGTGTCTCTGACAAACCTCTTATCTCATTCATGTGCACATTAATGCGCACGTTTTTACACACTTAGTAGGTGCAGAAAATCAAAGGATTATTTACACGATTACTAGCTGTCGCCCGCGACTCCATCCGCGCGGGATTAATAATAGATGTTGGCCGATTCTCGGACCTACTCAACATGCTCACAAAATTTCATGGGAATCGGTCAAGCCATTCCGGAGGAGTATGGGAACGAAAACTATGACACGAGAATTTTATATATAAGATTATAAGTTTTACAAACGTTCTAAAGGTTACTCAAATTGAAATCAAGTTTGATTGTAAGCCGATCTAATGGTAAGACTAAACGTAAAAATATGAACTGATCGCGAGACTAAACTTTCATTTCCTTGTAATAATAATGTATTTATATTAGAACGTCGCAACGTTATATGCAAGGACTTTGTACAAAATCGTTTACTTTAGGCAAGAGGCTTACGTAAACCTCCCGCCCGCCCATGGTTAACTTCATAAACGTCATGCAAAGTACAAGTTATTTTAGACGACGACGTTGATGTTAAATCGGAAACGAGTTTCGTAATTGTTTCGTCATAATTTCATTTATCACAATTAATTACAAATCCAATTCACAATTGTTACTTTGTAAAACGACTTTTAAGTTACCGGGACACTTTACTCTCAAGGCTCAGTAAACTTAAAACCTATTAAGCAAGTCAGAATAACGAGTAAACAAACGTTACCTTATTTTTCTTGCATTATGATGGCTTTAAAGTGAAGCCCCATCAATTTCACGTTTGTTTCGAATCGACTCTAAGTCTTCAGAACTTTAAGTAGCGTGCGAGGACTCAGCGTATTACTATTTATAGATATTAATGTTTATTTAGCTTAAATATTCCTTGACTGTGATAAAAAATATTACAATTATTGGCAAAAGAAAACATATAAAACCTTGGCCTCTGTTATGTAAAAGAAAGAAAACAAATACAATTAGCGGTTTTCCCTAATGAGTTTTGAGGTGGCAATGCGCAAAGGGGGCTTGGCCTACTTATCAAAAATTATGGGTCATTAGTACAATTTGTAATGTAATGACCTAATTTATCTCTTTGTATACAATATTAAAACACAACAACATTATTATAGGTATAATAACGCAGCATTTCGCAAACATATATTCTCGTAGCCCTGTTTTAAAATTTCGCTGATTTCGCGTTAATTTTTTCTTCAACTCGAACTTTCAATATTTATTTACTTCCATCGTTCTAAGACCGTGGGTGGCTCAGGGGTCAAGCACATGACATGCAATCTGCAGGTCCTGGGTTCGAATCCCGCCATGTACCCATGTTTTCGATTTCCGATTTACATACGTACATTTATCCGATGTTCTTACGGTGAAGGCATCGTGATGCAACCTGCACATATCTGAGAAGAAATTCAAAGATATGTGTGAAGTCAACCAACCCGCACTGGGCCAGCGTGGTTGACTGTAGCCTAATCACCCTTAACTTAGGGTAGACTCTGAGCCCCTCGGTGGGGACGTATTGTGAGCTGCTGATGATGATCGTTCTAACGTGCTAAGGCTTCCGTGGACCCTAGGGGGGAGCCTGGACCACTTTGGAAATAATTGTATAAGTACCGAAAGACTACAAAGTAATCAACGGCGATTATAATTTCATACCTCCTTTATATTAGCAATAACCCAGGGAACGTAGCACCGAAATTTCAACACAGCCATGGCATAAAACATAATGTCACTGGACATTTCTCAGCGCGCCAGGGAACTTTGCAGATAAGTATCTGTTTATATTCTTATTTTGTGCAGTTGATTGTACTTTAAATATAACCATACTTTTTGTGATACCGATAAAAATTAACATATTCTTTGGAATCCTAATGCAAAAAAACTTACAAGTATTTGTTTTATAAAACAAAAGTTATTATTCTTGTTAGGTAAATTGTTGAAATTTTAATAATTGTATTAGGTACTCCCAGTGCCTGTTGTAGTCATTGTTGTTTTGTTTTGACTATTTTTTAAAGGTAGAGCCCAGGTGAAACTAAATTAAGAAAGTCACAACAAATTAATTACCGGAAAGCAGTGTTCCGCCAAATTTAAAACGGAATCAATCAAAACCTGCCAAAGTTAAAATTACGCTCTAAGTTAGAAGGGGAGGGGGCCACATCAAAGCGCCATTAAGGTTTATCTGAATAGCGTCAAAATAAATAAAGGTGGAATTTGTGGAAATATTTATCCGTAGGTAGGCGAGCAGAGCGCGGCCAAGAGTTGCGGCCTTTTTGCTTTAATGAAAGCCTCCGCCCGATCCACCGGCAAACTTTAACGACCAACTGAAAAGAATAACTCGACCAAGATCTCTTATTACCTATCTGCTCGAAGAATACGCGTCATTGAACCAGTTTCCTTAACATTAATTAGCCTTTATTTGTATTAGAATTCATCATCAGAATCACAAAGAAATCATTATAGTCTTCTATATTATATAAAAATCAATTGCTGTTTGTTAGTCTCACTAAAACTCGAGAACGGTTGAACGGATTTATCTTATCTTGGTCTTGAAATGTTCGTGGAGGTCTAGGGAAAGTTTAGAAGGTAAAAAAAATCTAATACTTGCCAGGGTCTTTTTATAATGAACTTTTTTTCTTTCCATGCGGAAGGAGTCGCGGGCGACAGCTAGTATTTTATAATATTAACAGACTAAAGAAAGTAGAGTTGAATTGTGTGTTCATATCCTCTTTATACGTAAGAAGACGGTGGAATCAGATATGACGGCTGATAGACATGTTTGCAGGATAAGTATAATATATAAATATATCGATCCTCTGTAGAGATAAGGGCAGGTTGACGATGAACAGTATTATATTAAATAATACAGTAATATTTCATAGCATACAAGAATAAATTTCCCCATTTAACCTTCAAAGTATCAGGTACCTAAATTAAAGAGATTATGACGGTAATCATTTAATGAGACTCTTTGAAATAGAGGTAGGACTTTTGATAAATAGCATCGTAAACTTGTTTTTAACGGGCAACGAATTTCAGAATAAGCGATTATAAAACAATAGTCGTTTAAATCAAGGAATGCGTTAGCGGAGCAGCTTCCATTAATTAGCCGGAACACAAGTTTCGCTATAAATCGGCACAAGTCGACGGCACTCCGCCCCGCTCATCGGCGCGGTGTAAATTTAAGCCGATAAAATAAAATATTATCGCCGTTGCTACACGACGTCCGCCCTAATTACGTAAAATCACGTTATAAATTGCTTTGAAATATTCTCCTACTCGTTCTAATTTAGCGATGAAAAGCCAAACAAAGGGCGACGAGCGAGCTTCACGCGAACTTCGACATTTTTAATTCTTCCACGAGCCACATTGCCAAATTAAGTGCTAATTTTATGCACAATAAATCTCGTTCGATATTCAGTGGGGAAGAAAAGTGTAAGTGGATTCACAAAGCGTTACTTATGTAGGTCTTTTCATGGTTTATAGTACCTTACCGAAGCGCGGGGGAAAGGATCCGGAAAATTGGAGTTTCTCGTGCATTCCTTTTGAGTAACACAAAGGAAGATAAGTATAAAATATACACCGTTCTTCCGTATCTAAAGCTTGAAAAGTTATTTTGGAGTATATACGATTTTTCTAAACTATCTTGTTAAAACTTGTATGTTCTTGAATTTTGAAATAAATTTAATTTAAAATTCAGGTAACGGAAAAATGATCCACGTTCGCAGCGCGCGAGTATTTGTACGTACAATTGTGATTAAACAATTTGCATATTTGATGAACGAGATTTGTTTTGCTAACTAACCTGCGCGCAATCTGTTGCAGAATGCCAATTACTTTATTTCAAAATTATATTAACATTTTTAGTTGCCTCCAAAAGCTGCTTAATTTTAAATATAATTTATATAAAACTTGAACACATCTGTGTCAGTTACAAAGTTCAGTGGTTCCCGCAAACAGTTATTTAAACACGTAATTACATATTGCCATAATTATGTATTCAAAGATTTCAGACGACACTTTGTTACAAGTAAATATTTCTGTATTATTATCTGATCTTTTATGTTAATTATTAATCTAATTACACCAACATAAATCTTACTAATAATTGCGAATGTTTAGACGCATATTTGTTTCTTTGAAGGTATTATATCTCCAGTACTCTATGAAATTTGGCATACTTATAGAACATACTTTGGAAGAACACATAGGCTACAAATTATGTTTTTTTTAATACCACGGTCGGAGTCGCGGGCAACAGTTTGTAATATTATAAATTACAGAGTTTGCAAACAATAACGCAGATAATTCTAAGCAGCAAGCGTGGAGGAATTTGAAATATTACAGCGCTCTATTAAGACATTAATATCAGTGCGGTAAATCAGTATTTATAACGGCATTAGCGGCAAACGATTTAGTGCTGCGACCACTTCATTATGCAAGGCTTCCGCGCATTAATTAATGTTGTTTGAAACAAAAATTTAGGATGCATTAAAGGGCTGTTTAAAGTTACAACGCGTGTTGTTTTAACGCGTAATGCAGTCAACACCGTGCCCACTAATCTCAATGCAGCTATACAATAGTGGCCGAAAGCACGATAATTTCATATTATTAATTTTCGCCAGCATCGACGTGTTTGCTGCCGATAGTTAGCAAGTAAATTGGATTTTGTGCGAATGACGCATATTTCAACAGGAGTTATTAATTATGTTCGAGTATGTTTACGACACTTTAATTTTAAATTTATTAAAATTTTCAGTTATTTGATTAAGTACCCTTTGACCTACTGTATGCAAATTTTGTCGATAATTTTGTAATATAATTTTAAAAAGCCGTTATATTCACATTGGTAGAGCGTACGTTCTTTTTGCAAATATAAATCTTACATGACTTTGATCAAATCCACATTGAGTCTTATTGTCTATTCTGTTGTAGTTTCTGTGGTTCTATTAAATGAGTAAATGGGGGAGAGGGATTAGAACTTACCTCGTTAGGGGCACGGTGACGTAATAAGTATAGAAGAATATGGTGAGGACGGAGAGCAGCATGACGCCAGCGACGCACTTCCTCACGTTGATGTGGCTCGCCAGCCAGAAGCAGCAGCGCGGCGCCGGCGTCTTATGCGCGTGCGCCGGCGCGTAGCCACACTCCAGCAGCGGGGTGCGGGAGCCGCGCCCTTCACCCGACATGCTTAACGAACACACTATATTTACACTACACGGACACACTTAGGCCTGTATAACACTGCAGTCTCTATCTGGGTACTCGGATGGCAGGGTCGGTTCTGGGCGGCGGTGCTTTCTGTCGCCACTTGCCGTGCTTCCACATCTCATAGTGAGTGGGCGCGGGAGGGCGTGCGTGCGCCGGCGGGCTGGGCTCGCCGCCGCTGAGGGCCATTTCGCGACCGACGCGTCCGTTCCCGGTTCAGAATGGCCGCCGACGCATGGTGGCGGGTTGTGCTCATCACGGCGGCTGCTACGCTCGCGGGGCCACACCTCACGGCCGGAGATCACGGGACCGAGAGCGACGCGGCTCAGCGCGGCCGGGCGATGTGACCATCGGTACGACCTGCACAACACATATATACATCATTTAAGTATCAATTACAGGTTGACTAAATTAAAACTACAGTACACTCACTGTCTAAACTACAGTCATGATAAAGTTGATGAAACACGTGATTCAAATTGAGTCGAGGAAAACTGAACTTATATTACATTTAAACATCGTTAAAGCCTTGTTTTAACTGAGCTGTGTTGTGTAATATAACACCAGCGAAGTGTACTTATTGTTTAGGTATAATGTTTTTCATCTCGAAACATTCCATATTTGTTTTTCGTAGAAACTTTGAATAATACGATTTCTTCGTATAATGGTAATGTATAAAAAATCCGAGAATATGGCAACGTAATTTGAGGCATGTGGAAAAGTATATCGAAACGTGACAACAAAATATACTGAGGGAAAGATAGAAAAATATCAATTTGTCCCAAATAATCTCTGGAATCGTTGAATCGTGAACACCGCCGAAGACATCATCTATAAATTCAACCTTATGGTCTCGAGAATAAGGATTAGCGATTGACATCTTTACAGTACTAAAATAAATTTATTCAACTGTGAAATTGAAGAGCCGAAGAACCTCAAAATCTTGGATTATATTAAATTTGATTAAAAGTTAACTAATGAATGTGAAACAGAAATTTTGCGAATACATTTTCTTTGTGTTTCAATTCAAAAGTAAGTGTGAAATTTCAATCAACGTTGTTTATATAAATTAAAAATAGGTACATTGGCGAAACTGCGTCGAGAATATGGAAGTAAATATGTTGCAACAATGACTTTTATGCTACTCAAGAAGCGGAAAGCTTTCAAAGTGCTGCAAAATTCACCGCGCGGTATAGTTTATATGAACCACGCATGATTCCATTCGAACGTACACCTATTAAAATACAAAATACCTGTGAAAAAAAAAGAAATACAATTACATATTTGTTTCAAATGTGTGCGCCGAAGTAATGCGATTCTCATTCCTACGAACACACAAAACTGCACACGGAAACCGAAAGGAAGCTTTCGAGAGCTCGTTTCGAGACGGCAGTGGAAGTGAAACGCGCTCGGAATCTCTGATCGTACGACCCTTTGAATATTAACTACCGAATGACCCGTCCGTAACCGGGGCACGGATCTACAAGCCCACTCTAAAGGTTAATTCGTCTACAAGCGGCTGCCGCGACTTTTTACTGTAAGTAATGGAAGAGGCTTTAATAAAAAAGAATGATGCGATCTAAGTAGGAGATGAGAGGGCGGTAATTAAGATTAAATACTCTCAAAGAGATATTTTGATGCAGTGAGAGAAGTAATTAAAGTTGTTAATTGGTCGGAAAAACGTTTTTAGGGGGACGCAGTGTAGCAGCATCTATAAGATTGACACTAAACTAGGAACAATGTTACAAAGTTTAGCAAAGTATAATGCTATGTGATGACTTTCGTTAACAGATTGGCTAGGTCACGGCAAACCCAAGTAAGTTTATTTTAAGGAACACCGTCATTGTTGCTTGCTACTCGAATAAAGTACGATATAAATATGACGTCTTGTCTTCAGCCGTCGTAGTAAGTCGCAGACTTATATTACTACTCATAAAAGTTCTCTGTGAAGAAAATAATTTAAGCCAAATAGACGTAATAATACTATTGTCTAAGGTTATCTTTTGAAAAGTTGAAAAATACAAAAAGTGATTCGACAGTAGGACAGGAGATAAAAAATAATAATTTAAAAGTATAACAACATGTCAGTAAAGTACCTATGTATACATTGTTTGGTGTTTAACAAAGTTTTCACAACACCTCGTTGTTATTCGGGATCAGGAGACAATGCTCTCGATAAGGAAGCGTCCCATCTTACGTCAACTTACGTCCAACTTATTATAACTTCGCCCGCCACACCTCGCCTCCGCAAACCTGTTCGGAAATCCCGCATAATAACGGAGTAAACACCAACCTCACAATGTAACGATCGACTTTAAGCTACACAGCTATACGAGCAAAAACAAACGGCCTTCGATAGCACAGGTCCATATGTCGATTGCTATTTAACGCCGCAGGGGAAGCAGATCGTTTTCCGACATCGCACAATGTTTTACGTTTACCCCCACATTTGTATCGAAGTCACGTTCGAATGGAAATGTTTATTTTACGTTACATATGAGATACTTCACGGGTAATAGACGTTTCAACGGTTAAAACGTACGTTATTAAGAAGACAAATATGCGGATCGAGCGATTGGTTTGCGTTAACACCCACAAGCAAATACCGTATTTAAGTTTCGTGAGAAATAAGGGATGGTACTGAGACGCGTGGAAGCGGAATGTCGTAGTTACGAAGACAGTGGGCCCGCAATTCGCCCGCATATTTGGTCAGGCAAGATTAATTGCCACTAAACATCATCTGTCAACCGGAAGGACGTTCTGAGGACGTTTTGTTTGTTATACAAATAGTATTAAACGTCTCTCTAGAAGTAGTACGCATAAGGTCATATCTATGTCTTTGTACGTGTAATTTTATTTGTAAAATTACTAGTACATTAATAACAAGACAGCTAAGGTCTGAAGCTCATTATTTGGATTAAACCACGACTTTATTGGTCTTTTAAAAGTAGAGCAAATTATTATACTATGAATAGACTTGTTAAATTTCTAAGAATTGAAAGCATTAAATACGCCTGCGGAATAAAAATGTAGCATATTCCATCGTGTTTTATTTCTTGAATATCTTTACTAGTTGTTTCACTTGCTAAATGCAAGTTGCAAGATGAACAACAATCAAGCACTAATTGTGATTCTGCTAATTTGCATCTGCAAGCCGACTTATCCTAAAGCGCGCTTTGCCTTCCATACTGCACAATAAACAAGTTATATTATATTATATAGATATGTAATAAATTACACATAAGTTATTTTCTTGTGTATATTATTTGCTTTAGTATCTTTTATCATTTATTAATTCTACAAATAAAAAAGAATGTCAAACATTTTAGTATTAGGTATGTTACTTATCCGGTACTCGGTGGCTCAGGGTCAAGCACTTGACTTGCAATCTGCAAGTTCTGGATTCGAATCCCGCCACGTACCAATGTGTTTTTCGATTTCTGATTTACATATGTACATGTATCCGACGTTCTTACGGTGAAGGAAAACATCGTGATGCAACCTGCACATATCTGAGAAGAAATTCAAAGATATGTGTGAAGTCAACCAACCCGCACTTGGCCAGCGTAGTTGACTATGGCCTAATCACCCTTAACTTAGGGTAGGCTTCGAGCCTCTCGGTGGGGACGTATAGTGAGCTGATGATGATGATGATGTTACTTATCTTAATAATAAATTATTAACTTACAAATATTATAAATGCGAACGTTTAGATAGATGGACTCATGATGTTTGATGGTTTGGAGATATCTCCGAAACGAAACGTAGCATAGATGTAGAACATAGTCTGGAAGAATACATCGGCTACTTTTTTTTATCCCTGGCGGACGGAGTCACGAGCGACAGCTAGAGTTATTATAATTTCATATTTGATTCATTAGCGAATAGACTCACAATGTATTCTCAAACACGCTCCCTAATAGGATAAGGAAACTTCGTTGGGTTGCCAGGAACATCATTCAACTAAAGAGTTTAAACAACGTCATTTGTTGACGTCCGCTATAATACTCCGATCTTATTTAGACAAATATTAATATGTAAACAATGCTTCCAATTATGAGGATCACATCAAATGAAACAACTGATCAAATACCGGTATCGAACAAAACGAATACGATATCTATTCACGTGTAGACCTTTGGTAGTTCGAATAGAGAGAGCAATAACGCATTTCCAATTCAATTGAAGTTGCTGCAAACAGATATCTCCAATTAATGGTACAATTGCGTCATTAAACTGACCCTGTGTACAACCGCTCCGCCATGAAGCACCACGATACTGGTAAGTTTAGCTACGTCATGTTTAAAATTGTACTCACATAGTTTGTAAGATAATTATGCTCTCCTTAGTGTAGATTTCTAATCATAATACGCATAACCACAATCATCATCATCTTCAGCTCACTATAGTCCCCACCAAGGGGATCGAAGCCTGTCCTAAGTTAGGGGTATCATAACCATAATATCGTAATATAAATGGTATGGAACAGTTAAACGTAATAACATTTGTGACGAATAATAAGTTGACAGAGCTGAGTTTTGTAGGATTATGTTGAATTTATGCGAGACGTTATCTTAAGACAGTGTTGCATAACGCCTTTAGTGTCCGAAGCGTCTCGCCTCTCATATAAGGTCTTGCTATGATATACGAGCGAGCGCCGCCACGTTATTGCTTCCTGGGACATCTCAGAATATGCATGTACCGATGCTTTATCAAATGTGAGTGATAAAAAATTGGCACCACGCTCCTCGTATTTTCGATAGTAACCATATCATAATCATAAATTTGAAGAAGAAAAAATAAAAGAGTATTGAAAATATGAGTTTTGTTGTTATTGATTAAGTAATTAAAAGTAGTAATATCATGCAAGGCCTTAGCTTTTGCATAAATAAACAAGGCCAAACGGAATGCTAGCGAACTGAAGGCTTTCCTATTTGAAGGCCGACAAAACATCGTCGGCTGATTCGGATCTTCATGAGTGTCTAATACTTGAGGTAAGAGAATACACTTACATACTTATTATACAATTTAAAGGTTATTAAAAGATATTTAACTCCAATTTAGATTTGTGTGAAATACCGTTTTTTATTTCGGTGTAAAAGTAAAACAAGTTGGCCATTAGAATACTTATATGAATCGCAAAGAAAGATATTTGGTGCTAATGAGTGCGCGGGGCCTGTGGGAGCGGGGTGTGGGGTTGTGGTCTCGCGATAATCCTCCCGACCATTAGGCCCGACCACTCGCTTGCAAATCGTCCGCATATTTTGGCCAAGATTAATTGTTCTCGAATATCATCTATCACGGTGAGCTCCCTCGTGACGGTCGGCAGCAGTGCGTGCGACGTTTTATTCGTACCACAA